TTAGTCGTAGTTAAAACTTCGACTACATTGTTTGTGAATACAAATTGAAGTTAAAGATGCAACTAGCACTAAATGAAGTTCTAGTTCGGAGTTCGACTAAAGTTTGTTTTAAGAATACGGGCGTAAGTATTGGAAACTGACAACCAATCTAGTTTACAAATTTTATATTTACGAACACCCCTTGGTACCAAAGGGTACGTAAAATGGACGTTTTACTGTAGATCCTTGTCATTTGATTGGTGGATTTCATATCACATGACATTGGTTATTTACACCATTTCATCACTCATGAAAATTAGTTCTATCTGTGCATTGTTGCATTCATTTTGTCCCATTGCACACCTCCACCTAATACAATGTTTTCATTGTTGAAAGAAGATAGACTGTTCTATTCTGAAGACAGGCAGACCTTATCTTATATTCTTCCCACTGAACATATAAACATTATTTTTATAATCTTTTGTTTGCTTATTTGAACTTTTTGCAGAGTTTACAGGTGTCTAAAGATGTTTATGATGACCTGATGCCTATTTGCAGACAGGTGAATTTCTTAGCCCAGGAGGTGTTTAGTACACCTGAGCTCGTCATGGGAAAGTTTGTGCAGTGTTTATATCAACAAGTGTTGAAGGTATGTATGTCAATCTCCACTTAATAGCCCTAAAATTTACAATTACATTCGTAAAACCTTCTTAATTAAAACAAATCTACACATGGTCTAACCGCATAGCACAAAGATGATTGGTGAGCCACAGGTGAAGTGTCGATTAGGTAGTTATTTCAGGGGCCGATCCAGGGAATGCAACGAGATATGGATAGAACCCCTCCCCTCCCCACTCAAGTAAAGAGGGGATCACAGTACTCTAAAACAAGCTAATTTTTTATTTAAATTTCATATACCAGCGTCTATGGTGGTCAAACATTTTCTGAACACAAATTTCAAGCACAACCCCTCCCCCCCTCCAGTTCAGTGCTTGGTAGCAAGATTTTTCTCTGAATCGAACCTTGTATTTTATTCCAGATAGTAATACAATACATTTTGTGTGTAATTGATTTTTGTTTTTCTGTTTGTTATTGTTTGTTGCAGTGTTACGTACAGCAAAGGCTTAGCTGTAAGGACGATACAGAGAGGTACCTAGCACAACTCTATGAGCTTTATGCGAGGTATACCTTTGCTTTTACTTTAAGCTCGGCCCACACTATAACATTTTCTTCAACAAAAGAAACTGTTGTATGCTTATATATAGTCATAATGTGCCTATAAATGGTCATGATGTGTTGTCATTACCATGGTTACCAACCTGAGAGATTTGAAATTTAAGAATGACTACATCAGTTGGCTGGGGGCCCCAGGGGCAGGGGTAGCTGCCATGCCCCCCCCCCCTTTAGGGTCCAGGGGAAATAATAATAATAATAATCAAATTTGATAGTCTGGACAGAACTTATGATAGTTTAATTATAATTGGGTTTTAATTAGGATTAATTTTGTAATTATCCTAATTAAATTTAATTAGGATAATTTAATTGTAGCTATGAATTTTATTATTGATGATGATAATGTGATTATATTTTTATGTAACTTTTATATTCTAGAATAATAATAATATTATTACTCATCTTTGAAAACATTGAAATGGTTTTTTTTTTCCTTTAATTTATATTATTAGTTTGATTAATTTTCTAGAACATCTAAACTCACTAAAGGCTTATCCAGTTTTCGGCTCGGCTCTGACTCAAACTTTCTGAACCGTCAGATGAAATACGTATTTGGAAAATACTTAGAGGACTATGTTAGAATGGAGATGGATCATCTCAAAAACAAGATGACTGAGCATCTAAAAATCTACTACAGATCATTGAACCACACCAAGAAGAAATTAGACCAACAAGGAGGGTATGTGGCAACGTGCTGTATTGTTTTAAGTTAATGCCTCATAATAGTCAAGATTGTGGTACTACTGTATATCAATTTTATGTACACATCTCGGACATGTACATAAGTATGCATTGCTTGTGTCCAGTGGTGTATCTAGGGGTGTGCACATCCCCCCCCCCATTAAAGATGTTCGAAGAAAAAAAAATTACAGGTAGTTAAAATTCACCTTATTTTGAGAGCTAGTACCCCACAATTAATCATTTAACCCCACTTCATCTTCATGCCCCACTCCCCTATCAAAAAAAACTTGCAATCCTCAGTCTCCCCCATCATTGAAAATGTTTGAAGGGAAAAAAAATCACAATCAAGTAGTTAATATTCACCTTATTTTACGAGCTAGCGCGCCCCCCCCCCCCTCACTTAATCATCAAGGCCCCCACTTCACCTTCATCCCCCCTTCCCCGCATCAGCCTTCCCATTTCAAGACACCTAGATACACCACTACTTGTGCCTATATGCTCATTATCTTCAAGTGTCTCGTATATGTGTCTCTGATTATCATTATACCATATATGGATGTGTTGATTGTTATTGCAGTTTACATGAACTTCAGAACAAGTTGAGGACCAAGACACCGTTGTCAAATCTAAACCTAGGTGGCAGCAGCCATATTGATTATAAAGGAGAACCATTCATATCTCAAGAACTGTCTTTGAATCTGTTAAATGAGTCAAAGCTAGCATTGACAAGGTGCAATTTGGTAGGTTATAGTTATGCCCTGTTTGTTATACTCATCTAATTTTGTCAAGACTTGAATTTTATTTAACACTGAACAGTCTCAATATGTGTATTCCGTTATCGATTTATAACTCATTTTCATGAAGTGTTATGTTCGTTAATGGTCATAACATTAATTACTTCTTTTTAAACATGAAATACATGTGTTAATTTATTTCAGCTTTCAAACCAATCAGATCTTCCTGTAAATGCAGTGGACATCTTTAAGCTGCTCACTCACTATCTGTGTATAGAACATATAGACTATGCTTTGGAGATAGGCTTACAAGGGATACCATCAAACGAGCCGAAGACCGAGCCACAGGGCTACTTCATTGATGTAGCAAAGCAAGCTAATGCAGTCTTCCATCTTCTGGAAAAACTATTCAGTGAACTTTTGGTCCCACTCATTAGGTAGGTGCTTTGGTTTTTATTTTCTGGACAGGTTTGACAGACCTGCTATCACATGATCACACCAACCGGAGTTGTCATGTGACTAATTAAGCCATGGTAAGTTTGCTGATGAAGTCACGGTGGCTGTGAATGGCACTACAAACAAATGTAACCGCCGCCAAAGAGGTTATGTATTCACTCCTGTCTGTCTGTTAGCAAGATTGTCAAAATCTAGGGAATTGATCATCATAAAATTTTGTGAAATGGTACATACTGTAATAACCCAAGAAAGAGGTGGTTAAATTTTTAGAAGAAAAAGTCAGAGGACAAGATCAATATCACAGAAATTTTATTTTTTTACCCTCGAGCATAAACGAAATGGAAATCATCCATCATGCACAACTTTTCAGACACAGGGTCGTAAATAATAGAATCATACACAGGCTACGTTTTGTTCAGTATTCGGACACAGGGCGGATGTGCTCTAATTTATTATCAAATCAACAAAGTCAAATATGAACATTCATGCTGCTATTTTTATGATTGTTATTAAATTATTATTAATTTATTAATTGAGGTTTAAAACATCAAGTTCCAAACCAGTAGCAAAAGCTGAAATGGTTCACTTACAATATCAACTTCTTACAAAAATTCACTACAAAATATATAAACACTGACAATTATTATTGTCATCATCATTAATATTATTATTATATTCATATATCTTCATTCAAGTTGTTTATGTTCTTTCTGTATTTAGTTCTTCGCCAATGTACAGCCAGTGTGTGCAAGAGAAGCGAGAAATTAAGGAGCAAATGGAAGGAAAGATTGAAAATGGTTTGGATAGGTATGACTTTTTATTTGTCCATTTTTAATTATCCAAACGCCGTAGTAATAAGTTTCAAACATCAACTGTACTTGTCTTAACCTTCTGAAAGTCGTTGAGGACACAGCTAATGCTGAAAGTAACAGATATGTAATGTTGTGAAAGTCAGGGCTGGTAACTTCTTCATCACACTGTTACCTTCTGCCAAGCATCTTGCACCATTTTCAACAAATTATTGTCAAAGAATAACAACCAATACATATACTGTTTAACTACAACCAAACATCTGTATATTTTTCATGAAAGTTATTATCTTTGTGTTTGTCTGTGTGTGTTGTTTTAAAGAAACTTTTTTTTTCTCCAAAAAAGAACACTGAATTGCTGGTGTGGATGGATAAAACATATTTTATCTGCAGAACAGAAAAAGTCTGACTTCAAACCAGATTCTGAAGAAATGCCTACTGAATTATCAACTCCTGTAAGTTAATTACACCCATGCTACGCATAACTACCATGCCACACATAGTCACCATGCTACACAAGTGATCACCATGTCACACTATGCTATACATAACCACCATGCTGTGCATAACCACCATGCCAAATATTAAAACCATGCTAAACATAAGCACTATGCCACACATAACTCACATGCCACACACAACAACCATATCTACCATTCCATGATACGTAACCACCATGCTGCGCAAAACCACCATGCTGCGCAAAACCACCATGCCACATAACATCATGCTACACATAGGCACCATACCACACATAACCCACATGCCACACACAACAACCATGCCACATATAACCATCATGTAACACATACCCAACATGCCACACACACAACCAGAAGTTGCACATAACAACTGTGCCGCACACCACCATGTGACACATAACCACTATGCTACACATAACAACCATGCCACAAAAAACCACTATGCCACCCACAACCACCATGCTGCACAAACACCATGCCACACATAACCACTATGTGACACATAATCACTATGTCACACATATCCATATAACACACATATTCACTATGCCACTTATCCATAATATGGCTTATAACACATTATTTTAACCTTAATTCCAGGCCTGTGCTAAAGTACTTAAGTTTGTTGACCAGCAAGCTGCAAAACTGAAGACATGTCTGGATGGCAAGAACGTTGGAGGTGTGAGGCTAGAGTTTGGCATTAGATTTCATCGTGTTATCTTGGAGCATCTACAGAGCTTCACTTACAACTCAATGGGAGCCATGTTGGTGATATGTGATGTTAATGAATACAGGAGAGCTGCCAAAGCCTTTCAGGTATGGGTAAATTGTATAGAATTCTTTATGTTAATATAAAAGCTGGTCATTTACAAATGGTGAAGTGGAGCTGTAGCCAGTAGTGGCTCTAGGATACATTTTCGAGGGGAGGGGGGCTAAGCTGTCCGACAGAGTGGCCTGAGCTTGTATGCCTGTGGAGAGGGTGGGTTTGGGAGCGAGTGTCCCCATCCCAAATGAGATTTTTTTTTTTACATGTTTTGGCTTGGTGTAGGCCTAAGTTTTTCCTCACAATCAAGTACATCTCCACTCTCTAAAGACCTGTCCGGACTATCAAATTTCATTTGACAAAAAAAATGTGATATGCCTAAATATTGTCATGATGACATCACATCATGACCATATATAGGTACATTATGACTATATATGGGCATACAACAGTTTTTTTTTTAACAGAATACAGTTTGATAGTGAAGCTTTACCTTCAAGGCATAAAGAAATTGTTCGCTCATCATTGTGAAACATTTTAAGGGAGGTGTTGTGATAGTAATATGTGAAGGACGCCCTCTCTTGTAGTAGTTACGATAACGTTAACTCACACCTTGATCTTATGTTCAGTAACTACGTTTACGAGAATCACTTTTTTTTTTTTTTTTTGTAAAAATTACTGAAAATATAACCCTGACTACACATAAAACAACATTTTATATATATTACAATGTTGTGATTTTTACATTGCAGAGTCCTGTTGTAAACTCACTGTTTGAGTTGCTTCATGCCCTCTGTAACCTTCTTGTTGTAGTTCCTGAAAATCTTAAACAAATTATCACAGGGGAGCAAATGGTAAGCAACAAAAGTGAACTTTTTAAGGAAAAGCAGTAAGATAGATATTAATCAAGGTTTGATTGTATTATTATAATAATAATAATAATAATTCTTATTGATTTTCCTTATTAATGTTTCTGTTTATAATCATTGTTGCAGGCTGGATTAGACAGATCTACAGTGATGTCGTTTGTTCAGTTAAGAGCAGATTTCAAGACAGCCAAGATTGCCCAACAACTCAAGTAAACTGTTAAGAAAAGGAAACAAAAACAACTACAGCAGAGAATGCACTCAATTGGCAAATTATTATATATCCCAGGTCAAATTCACATGAATATTCTCTTTCAAAATATTTTTTTAACTGTAGAGTAATAAAGGCCCATATAATGAACATGGATGAGGAGGGCCCATATGATGAGCATAGATAATGAGAATTTTGGAGGGCCCATATGATGAGCATAGATGATGAGCATTGAGAAGAGCCCATATGATGAGCATAGCTGATGAGAATTGAGTAGGGCCCATATTATGACCATAGATGAATGAGAATTAAGGAGGGCTCATATGATGTGCATAGATGATGAGCATTGAGAAGAGTCCATATGATGAGCATTGATGATGAAAATTGAGGAGGGCCATGTGATGAGCATTGACGAGAGCCCATATGATGAGTATGAATGATGAGAATTGAGGAGGACCCACATGATGAGCATAGATGATGAAAATTGAGGAGGGCCATATGATGAGTATGGATGATGAAAATTGAGGAGGGCCATGTGATGAGCATTGACGGGGGCCCATATGATGAGTATCGATGATGAGCATTGAGGAGGGCCCCATATGATGAGCGTAGATGAAAAGAATTTAGGAAAGCCATGATGAGAAGAGAGGAGAGCCCATGCAATGAACATTAAAGATGGGTGTTGAGGAGTGCCCATACGATGAGCATAGGTGATGAGTGTTGGGGAGTGCTCATATGATGAGTATTGTTAATGAACATTGAGCAGAGCCAATATGATAAGCTTTGCTGAGATGGATTTCCCCAGTTAAATATTATTTAGTTATACAGTAGATTTATCCAAAAAATACTATTTTACACTTTATTTATTGTGAAGAATGAGATCTCTGCTATCATGTTTTGGTGAAATTTAATTCAACATGTGAAATTAGGCAATAGTAGTGAAATGTTGTGCTCTAAGGTGGATTCAATGGGGGAATGGTGGTCACATGGCCTTTCTTCTCCCCCCCCCCCCCCTCACTCCATTTTGCCACTAAATTTTGTAAATTTCAATGCATACCATTGTCATGTATTGAAATAAGAAAAATTAAATACAAATACAAATGTTACAATAGGCCCTTCATATTGTCACTGCAGCTAGTGCTCCCTACTTATCTATTATGATAATTTAGTCCCACCATCTCCTAGTTGAATAATTCTGGTTCTCCCCATGTTTCTGATATTGGCATTTGTGACAAAAATGCATATTATCTTTGTACTTTCTATAATTCATATGCTGTGTTCTTTGTATATAGAGTTCCATATACAGTACATGCTCTATAATAAAGGAAACAATGATAGGTTAAAAAATAAATAAAGTGTATTCAATGCAAAATTTAAAATGGAAGTATATTAATAATTATAATGGCAATGATTATGATTGTTAATGCATGTATATGTAACCAAGGGTAAATATTGTAGATTACTATTTATAGCTCAGTTTGCATTGCATGTAAAGGTTAGTTTCCATACAATCACTTCGCCGGCAGCTTTCGGTGATGCTGATTGGTCGGTTGCACTGAAAACACTGTAGCGATTTTAAGGAAAGAGGCTTAAGGAAAAGGTAAAGTTTACCCAGAGGTCAACAGGTCATAGTGGCATTTGGCCAGACTATGCATTGCTGTAAATGGTTTGCCGTTCTGCCTGCACAAATCTGTTTACCTTCAAAGAATATAATGAAACAGAGAGAGGCAAATGTAGATAAAATGCCTTGCCCAAGCTTTCAGACCTCCTAACCTAATGCTGTAATCCGAGAAAAAACACAGCTCTATACTGACCGCTAAACCAACCCCGGCTCCAAACTTAGTTCCAAACGCATGAATGGATAGCATGAATTTTAGTTATAATAATTCAAAACTGCAATCAATTTTTTATTTGCAGATATAAATATAATCCTTTATTTTAATTTTAATTAATGAGACTTCATTTAGTGCAATTTTAAGTATTTTCCTTATTCTGTTTTTTTATATGTCTTTCGTTTGGTTTTTTTTTTTTTTTTGTCATCCATCTTGTTTTAGTTGTAAGTAATCACTGTATATAACAAAATACTTTAGATACTATAATAGGGTGACTAAAAATCTCGGATATCGGAGTTTTTAGATTTAAAAACCTCCTAGAGTCCTAGATCAATACTTCCCAAAGTGTGGGTCACGACCCCAATTAATAGGGCCGCCAATACTTCCTAGTGGGTTGTGAAAAAAAAGGTCAACTTCACATTAATTATTAAAGTACCGTTTTCGGCCATTTAGAGGTGCCATAATTATAAAATGTCAAAAATCAGCCCTGACCATGATGGGGCTGAAGTAGATAGACTCTCTGTATCTACTAACTTTATATCTGAATCTGGCCTCCCCATAAATGCAATTAATGGATCCACTACTAATAATGATACAATTACACAGTGCTTTAATAATATAATAATAATAATTTACTTTTATATAGCACATATTGCGCAGTGCCTTTATGTGCTTCCACCAAATTATAAAACAAAAAGCACTAATGTGTAATGACAAAGGGTCAACGATTCGCCTCTGCCCTTCGGTGGCGCGAACAAGGGGAAGAAGTGAGTAGGTAAATTGGACAGGAAATTCTCATATCTGGGCCTAGCGATTGTTTATCATTATTTACAGCAGTGTGGAAGAATGATGCTAAGGTGGGTCTCAGGGAAATACGTTTGTGAAGCAGTGCCCTAGATATCACATACACTGTATCTATCTACTCACATACTGTACTTTATTTTTTATTTTGCTCTGTGCCTATTTTGTACACCACTCCATAACTTTATGTATATTTTTTTTTATCTATTGGAATTCATAGGTTCGTATTGAAAAAATATTTTATTGATGATGCACCATCTATAGTTTGTTTTATTTTTATGATAATGAAAAACAATAATAAAAGAATTAGTACACAACACTAAAATATTTTTAATGCATTCATTATTATTTATTGTATTCGATCGTATATATATATATATATATATATATATATATATATATATATATCTGTGACTGAACTCTGTTTTCTTAAGTCCTGTCCAGACTATCAAATTTGATTGGACAAAAACTTGACATGCCTAAATATGGTCATGATGACATCACATTATGACCATATATAGGCACATCATGACTATATATGGGCATACAATCGTCTTTTGTCAAAGAAAATCGATAGTGTGGCCAGACATTTAGTGTCAGATAAAAGCGTTAAATTAATTTACAACCTAACATATTTAAGATAATATATATGCGAGGAAGGGGGAATATATATCAGTTGTTTAGAGGGGGTCTTTGGCTGGGATTCTATTTTATACAGCAGTTTCTTTCATAGACCCTAAACTGAATAGTTTCGTTTATAGCATGCTTGGTCCTCTGAATTTCAAATTCTAAAAAAAACTTATAAATACCCAGTTACGGTTTAATAGAATTTGAAATGCTTAAAGATGTACGGTACTCTCAGTCAAAAGACAGGGAGATACCTCAAAAATTTAAATAAGATTTTTAATAGCTCATTGAAAATGAACAAATTCATTATTAGCTTCCAACGAGAAACGAATCGAGAAACATTTGTTTTTACCGATTTACAGAAATTTTACTACAAATCCTTAATGATTACCAGCCAATTTAAGGGTTTTTGTATTATTTATTTATTTATTTTTTAGGTATTTTCCTGTATTTTGACCGATAGGCCTAGTACACCTTTTAAGCGTTTAAAATTCTAATAAAAAAAATTCACCGATTATAATATAAACGAGCGGTACTTGGTAAGTACAACTTAATTTCTTGCTTCGAACAAGGTGTCTGTTAATTCGTAAAGTCTTATGAAGCCTGGTGAGCTTATCTGATAGTGAGGTTCGAGTACAGGACATAGGCCTACCTCCGACTTTAAATTGACAAAGATATAAAAATGTTAAAGTACATTTGATTTAAATAATATCCCGTTGTGTCAGTACAAACCTAAATGTATTAACTGGTTTTCTGCACAACGTTAAATGCATGTGATGAATTATATTCATTTTTTTTTTTTTTTTTGAGAAAAATATTGTCTGTTATTATGCACATCACAACCTGGTCTCGTGATTGTAGGCCTACTGACCTCCAATCCCATTATTGGCACACATCCTCAACGTAATACTATGCCTACATTGTATAAAGACTTGAAAACAAAGCCCACCGTTACACTTACCGCCACCTGTTGCACTATTGTTCATTAACATTTGTTGAAACTACAGTAATCATGATGAACATTCGATCGCTTTTGCTTAGTTGGCAGTTTCCAAGCATCGAGTTAAAAGCTACACGCTAACTCATTGTTCGTGATATATTTCAACAATTTAATAGAAGATTTAGGCTGAGAATCTTAAGATTAAACTTGTTGTTTTGTGCAGATTCTGAAGGCAACAGACAGTCAGCATTGATAATGGATACCTTGGTCGTTTGGTTGTTTGTAGCAACGACGGTATCTATCGTATCGTGCCAACATATTGAACAGTTTGATATTAACAAAATGGGGATCGAATTAATGGATCATCATGAAGATCACGATGAAGCAAAAACCGAAGATAAACTTTCCACCAGCCTTCCGCGCTCGGCTATAACTTTCCGATTGAACGAACGTGAAGAATCATGCTTTTATGAAGTCTTACCCTCCGGAATACGTTACCATTTTGAGTTTAAGGTAGTTTCTGGTGGAAATCGAGATGTTGACTTCATCATTACGTCTCCTGGCGGGAAAACAGTTGCGCACTTTAAAAAGGAAACGGCCCACGAAGGAACTTTCGACACAGGAAAGGGTGCGTATCAATTTTGCTTTAGCAATAAGTTTTCTACAATGACTAAGAAAACTGTGTTCTTTCAATTTAACCCCGAAACTGAAGGCACCCTGTCTCGTAAAGTCGGCATCCGTAGACAGACCGTCATGACCGCCTTGGAATCTTATCAAGAGGAAATTTATCAAAATTTGCTGACGGTGATCGAACATCAGCGGCAATACCGGATACGAGAGTTGATTGGCCGACATTATGCTGACCAACTTCTTGTACGCATTGGAAACTGGTCGTTAGGAGTGGCTGTTATGATTCTGTTAACAGGAATCGGTCAAACATTGATTATGAAGTACTTTTTCACAGAAAGAAGAACAACTATTAAGCATCAGACTTAAAAATATTTTATTTCATTATAATGGATTAATAAAAGTAAATTTTATTATAATTATTTGTATATTGTGGTTTTGTTTTTTAAATTGTAAGCTGCGCAACACAACCAATGAGCTCTATTATAATAATTATTCCTAATTCTGATTGGATTGCCCTAATCCAATCTGTAACAATAACACCTAACAATAATTGTTCTCACCACACCACAAAAAGAATCTCATGGTGAGAAATTCTATATTAGGGTAGATCACATTATAAGCTTTAATTTGATTTTTGAAACTTGGTTTCCTAGGATAAGTAGATCCAAAGATGTGAGCATTTAAAATTTAGGTGTACGAGAACCACGTTTTGAGAAAATCAGCCTCAATGATAAACAACAATAGGACCAAAATTACAGAATATGTGCAGAGAATACTGTTTTAGTTAGAAAATTCACTTAAAAAAGTATACAATCATAAAATATAAATATCAAGTTACTCAAAAACATTAGAATCAAGATTTTGTAAAAATTTTGACTTTGAACTATTTTAGTGAATATCTCATTACGATTTCAACACGATCCGTCTCATTTTGTGGCGAGTCCTCACAGTTTGTCATGAGATGTTTGGCTTTATGTGATCTGCGATGTGCCGTGGGCTTTTGGAAGTTCAGCCCATTCCCGCCGAAAGATTGTTCAGACAACTAGCAAGGAAATAACCCATCTCATTTAAATACCGCTAGGCCGACACTGTTCTTTAACATTCAATCGCCTGTGATTTCCTGAGCATTTTTTGGTCTGTTTCCATGTCTTTTGAACAGTGAATGTAGAAAGGTGATTTCTAGGCTGGATAAATATAAATGAGGAATCGGTTTTCTCATGAATCAAATCCTATGAAAAGATATTTTGTCGATTTGTATCAGTAGGCATTGTCTGAAGCTTTGTCAATATTGGTGCGTACTTTCGTATACAGACAAACCTGTGTACACCATAATAAAGTATGGTATTAATAGTAAAGGTGGATTAGTATTCCATGTTTGCGTCAGTAGTGATTGAAATTATGGACCTTCCCTCATTTTAGATTTCGGCTTCTGGATATTGCTTTTCTTGTGTCGTGTAAGAATGATGTTCTTGCGTCGTAGCGCCTATCATGTGACTTGTTTCGAGGTTTGTATACAGGATAGGCCTATCATTAGTGAGAATGTTTTATATATAACTCATCAATTTTAGTCGAATTTGATTTATTGTGGCTTGTAACTGTAATCCAATTAGGCTTCTCGTCGGTAAACCAAAGTCATTGTTGACGTTTTTAAGTTATATCTAAAGGATGACATGAGTAGGTAAATTTCATCATCCTCTATAGATTTATCCGTCTTCAGTTATCTAATATTATGTTTATAGCAAGACATTAAAACAAACATGCATTTTATGTAGTCGAATATCCATTTCTAAAAAAATATCAAGAAATGTGCCAACTACTGAAAACAAACAAAATACACACCAAAGCTTTTTGATGGCTTAAATATATTTGTCGAATGGTACACAATCCTTAAAATGAAAATAACGCTGTTTATCAAAACCTTTTTTTCCAGCAATTGACGTACAAGCTTTGAAAATCCCAATTCCATTCCAATGGAGAAATATCGAACAAGTAATTAAACGACATTAAATGACATCTCATCTAATGACATATCTCATGGCATCATCTCAAATGACTCATCTCATGATACCTCATGCCATATAGTTTCGCATATAAAATATCTTACATTTACCAAACTGTTAAGAGGCCATAATGACGTCAGCGTCGATTCATTCGACGGATAACACACTGTATAAATATTGCACTATCCTAACGAAGTTAGGTACCGTATAAAAGTATATTAACATAAAATCTAAAAACCTATATAGTTCTTCATACAGATAAGAATATAACTGCACAATAGCCAGACAACTTCGCACTGTATTCTAATTATATATATGTTTTTTAAACGCATTTCGCGTCACTGTGAGTTGACCTGACATGATAGAACATAAAATGTTTAAAAACAATTTACTGTACTGTTACAAAGTAGTCATTAGATTATAATATTAAAGATTTAAGTTACCAGTTAAAGCCAGGCACTCGGCCTCGTACGACGATCGGACGACCGTCGTCATTAAAACGATCCGGCTCGCGTCGTGGCGTTGCGATCTCCATAGAATCTCGCCGGGCGCAGTGAGTGCCGTCTTAAGTTTAGTTTAATACTTGGGGCAGTTTTAGTGCCCAAATGTTCTTTGGTGACATTCTTTAATCAACTGCTAAAATATAATTATGTCTGATATTGAAACATTGGCGTTGAGAAGTTACATTGCGTCGTGTTCATTCGTAGAGCAGATAAACTTTTGTTGTACCAATCGTCATCAATATGGGAGTCGCTACGCGCGCCCATTCCACTGCAACTTGGGCCCATTTGCGGGAATTGTGTGTGATTCATTGGTGCGTAGGTCGCTGACGTCATCGGAGGGTATCTAGACATTGCGTTCATCGCGGGGTATTGGTAGCTTCTTTGGTTACCTGGATAGAAGTTCCGCATGACTCCATTGCAAGACGGTAAAACAGGAGAAAGAGATTTTGCTAGCTGTTTCTCTTGCTTGCGATATTTAGCTCGACGATTCTGGAACCAAACCTTAAAAGTTAAACAATAAAAAACATTATTTAAACACAATAAGGCCTATATTAATTACATCATAAATAAATGGCAATTTATACAATATTCTATCTACACTAGTCAAACAGCCACGACTTAATACCGGGAAGGTGGGACAACCGTCTTGTTTCTTTTATAACATGTGAAACATGATAGTTACTATAAATGGGTAACTGTCAGTATAACAGCGTGCTACATGAACTACTGGTAAACCAAGATATGTCAAATGGGCTACTGGTTCATTTCAATGTATGATAAAAAAAAATTGTAATGTAAAACGGTTGAAGAAGTTATATCGGTGAGACGGCTGGAAGACACGTGGGATAAAAATAAAGAGGAAAAATGACATGAGAACAGTTGTTTGAAGTTTTTCTTCCAAACAGCCATGCACAGCAGTCTGAACCAAACGCTAAAGTAAGAGAGACGGGCACTCCGGCCTTCTTCGGGTTTCGAACCTTTATCTTTTACCAAACAAAAAGTATCTAGGCTTACAGTAAATTATTAACAGCTGCGTTAATTGTCAAAAAAAAACTGTTAAAACGTCTTTTCTCATGTCATTTTCCTCTTTATTATCCATGCTTTTCAACATGATAAAAGTTGTGTTTACCTGTATCCTGGCCTCGTTTAACTTCGTTTGTTTTGCGAGATCTTCTCTAACGTATATATCGGGATAATGGCTCTTAGCAAACGCTGTCTCAAGTTTCTGGAGCTGTTCCTGTGTGAAAGTGGTTCGATGACGTCTCCTGGCTGGAGTTGGAGGACATGTGATAGGGTTAGACGCACCAATCTGAACAGGATCTATCGAAGGCTTCAACTTCTTAAATGCTCCTTCTGTACAGTCTTGGAAAAGCGAGTTTGCTATAGAAAAAAAAAACAAGATATTTTATTTATCAATGTGTCCAACATGGTTCACTTGAAATTTAGGTCCTTGATATGTTTAAAATACAGTAGAAACTGTAGTACAGTAGTTTTTATGTAGAAACATAAAAACAGTTTTATGTGTATTAAAGAAAAATACATAAGGCTTTAAAAAAAATCAATTCAGATTATATTGATACGTGTACACCAGCAATTAGCTCAGTCGGCTAAACCGACTGAGCTAAAGAATATCTCTTGGATTCCCATCGTTGCTCTCCGTGTGTTTCAGGGGAGGGCTGAAAAGCACACCGTCTTTCGGATGAGACGTTTAAGCTGTTGGTCCCGTGTGCAAAATGGCACATGTAGTACATTCTTTGAAAAAGAGATTTTCTCCCGATATACTGCCCAATTCACCACCAGAAGGACCCCACTAAGTCTTAATACTTTCGTGAGTTATACCGAAGAAATCAAATCCACTCTCTAAAGTTTAAGTATTGAATATTCTTAAAATACAATGTAATCCTACAGGAGTGCAAGACATTACTGGTATGATAATGCGAATGATGTACATTCGAATTAGCAAGGTTTTAAAGAAACAGAAACTTAACATCATATTTAATTCAATTCATTCAATAACGTCGACGAAATTATTTTAATGAAATAACCAAAACTAAATAAAGAGATAATAAAATTGAAATTGTCATTAGTTTATCTGAAATAATATTACCGGGAAAAAACTTAGGACATCTTCCATGATTTTACAAACCAATTTCTAAGGAAGACTCATGGGTACTTACCTGAGTTATCCGAAACATTTTGCCTTTGGTTGGAATCGAGATAGATGTTTGAAAATTCTTCACACTTCTGTGGTTTTGTTCCCTGCATTTCTTGTATATGTTGATCAGTAGTCAATGACATAGATTGATGTATTGAAGTCATTCTTGAAGATGTATTAGGTTTTCGACGAGTGGCTCATAAAATTATCAACCTAATTTTAAGTGTGTTAAACACTAATACGTTTCATCTTATATCTAATGTGAGCACTCATTCCAGTGTAGAGAGAACCAATCAGAGTTCACTGAATCAAATTATCATAAACTTGTTCAGCCAATTGCGTTCATTTTCTACGCTGCTTGTGATTGGACAATGCTCTATACGATTCTTTTCCCAGTTTGACGTATTTTGTTGGGATACAACTTTTCCTGTGTCTTTTGTGGAACTACGCGTGTCATCTACGCAGGGATTTGATTGTCCTATTTTGATTTGGAATGAAGACACTAATCTTAAGCTAATTTGTATCTAATTCAAAACTTGTTTTCATTCGTATAACAACAAGATTACACAATAACCTGCTGTTCTTTTAGAATGGGACACATGTTATTATCAACATATATGCATTGGCTTGTTTCATTTTTAAGACTTGAAATCAACAAATAAATAAAGACACATCAAACGTTGACAGATGTAGAAACGTCTGCCGATACTTTCGCCAAGGTCATCAAATTTGTTAAAAGTTAGTATAAAAAAGAACGGCAAATTTTGTGTGACGCAATTTGTTATAAACAAGTATTAAATAATTTCTGCTACTGGTTGTTAATTAACTTTAATTGGGAACCACAAAACTGAATCGAACCACATTTCAATTGTGGCATGTTTTACATAATATGAAATAGTAATGGAGATAATAAATTTGTTAATAATAAAATTTCTAATTAATAAGAATATTATTAATAAAAATTATAGTGATAATCATAAGTATAACCCTGTGTAAGATTTTTTTAAATAATCATGATCTTAATCTTTTAAGAATTTCCAAGAATCATTCAAACATAATAGTGATATTAATAATAATATTTATACAAATAATATTAATAACATATATAATCGTCCAAATGGTGTATATTTGTACATAATCAATATAAACAAATAGATAAATAATAAGTAATACCGTGTATAATATAGGCCTATATAAATAACATAGAGG